AAAATTAGGGGGTTGTCCTAATTTTTGCTTGCATCAATTTGGTATCAAAGAGGGTTTGTCGAGTGAGTCTTGGTGAGTCGTAACAGTTGTTGTGTGAGTCTTGTTATCAAGTGATTTAAGTTTTGTTGAGTCTTCTATTAGAAAAAATGCTTGATGCGCCTCCTTCGCTTTGTCGGAAGAAAATTAAAGCAACCTCATCAGGAAATTAACATTTTCAATCGGAGGAGAATTGATACAGGCAAGGGGGGAGGGGGGGATTTAAAACAAGTTGGGTTTTAATTTTTGTAAGTTTCTACTAAATACAGCTCATTAATGAGGTTCTTCTACTTACTCAGCTCATAAAGTGTCATTATTTGGTTCAATCCCCCTTGCTTTGGCTCTTTGCTTTCCGCCTCCTTGGCTCTTCTCCCCTTGGCTGCCTTTTCCTTTCCCCTTCCCTCTGCCCCTTCGGTTCTCCCCTGGTGTTGTTTCCCTTGAGCTGTTCCTTCTCCCTTTGCTGGGTGCTGGTTCCGGTTCTTGTGCTGCCTTTTCGATTTGTTCCCTGGCTGCTTTCTCGTGGCTATTTTACCCAGATTTCCTGTTCCTTTTCATGTGCTGATTCCGGAATGAATTGTGGCTTTCTATCTTCCCTTACCTGATTGGTTTGGTTGGAGGTTGATGGCTATTTGGCTGCCCCCATTTCCCCTATAAATATAAGGTGTCTTGAGGCATAAAAGAGAGACTTTGGTGATAATTTTAGGAAGAAAACTTGTGGGTTTTGTTTGATAGCTTGCAAGCTATGTATCCCCTTCTCCTTCTTTTAGGATAGCTTGCGAGCTATGCCTTCTATTCGTCTTGGCTTCTTACCTCCTTCTCCCTGCAAGTTCGACTCCACTTGTATCCTTCTTCTCAAGCAATGGAAATGCAATTTTGGGGTTTTTATGTTTGTGTTTGTAAGCGTCAAGAGTTGTAAGGTGTTCGTTTTATTTTCATAAGTTTGTAAGATTCGTCTTTATTTTATAAATAGTTGTAATTTGTCTAATTTTTAGCATTTTATGTAATTTTTTATTTCCTAGGAAGCTTTTTATTTTGCTTGCAAAATTTGAGGTTGTCCTAATTTTTTTCTTGCATCACATGTGCGTACACATACGTCTGATGCGGGCAAAAGATATAGGGAGCCTATACCCTTCGCCCACAGAAGACACGACGGACTTCTAAAGACGAAATGGACAAAGGACGAGAAAAGGGACTAGAAAATCAACAAAAGAAAAGAACAAACTCTTATATTTCAAATAAAATTAAACAAAAGAAATTACAACGACGACTTACAAACAACACGACAGACACCCTAAAGTTGCTTCATTGTTGAGAAGAAGGATACAGGTGGAGTGGCACTTGCGGAGAGACGAAGAGATTAGAAGCCCGAGAAGAAAGGGTGGAAAGAGCCCGCAGGATTTCCGGAGGGGATGAGAAAAGAAGGTTGGAAAGAGCCCGCAGGATTTCCGAGCAACCCGCAGGTTAACAGATTTTCCAAAAATCAAATATCATTCAACTTCACTTCAAACATTACATAACCCCTCATATTTATAGGTATGAAAGGGGAATACAAAAGGACACAAACACTTAATTAACACTTAAAACTAAACATTAAAAAGCATATAAATCTCCCCCCAAAGCTCTCTGTTTACACCCAAACCAGGAACCAAGGATACTAGACTCAAGGGAAGCCAAAATATGATTTATTTTGGACTAGGGTTGACCCCCCCTTTGTCTACATCAACGTCACAAATCATTCTTGTTATGATCTGTGTTTTGAAAGTAAATTCATGCAAACAAAAAAAGAAGAATTGAAAGTTTATGAACAACCCTAGATGCTCTGATTACTTGTCGCTTTGTATAGTCACCTTGACTTGAAAGTAGCATGAATCTATTCACATAATTCCAAAAGGGGAGTTAAGTATAGCATATGAACCTCTGAGGTTTCATTGGATATCACAAACTCGTTTTATAAACATTGGAGATTAAATGAATGTATTCATGAGCTTCACATGTTTCAAATGACAACGATCCTAGCAAATGCAAGTTAAATGCACTAAGTCAATTTTGTCACAACATTAACATTGAGTAGGGATGTATATGACATGAAATTTTTGGGAGGATATGCAAGCTAAACATTCAGTTTGACTTTGAATAACAACAAACCCTAGGGTTCGAACATAGGTGAAAGTGTTGAGCTCAATGCAAAAACATGCATTTGAGAGGTGTTCGATTGATCCTCTCAGATTCTCACATGAGAACCAACAAATGAAAACCACCAAGTTTCCATTGTTTTGCGAAGATGAGAGCCAATGAGGGATTTTGGGAGAGCAAAAATTGAAGTTTTCTAAGGACCTAAGGCTTGGGGACGTCAACCATACAACCACAGCTAGGGGGCCTTAGGGCTTTTCCTAATTTATTGAAAATTTACTTTACCCGGGCTGTCCAAGCGCTCCAATCCAAGCTCCGAGTGCTGTCCAAGCTCCAATCCGAGCTCCGAGCTGTTGTCCAAGATGCTCTGGAGGTTTCCTTTGCTGTCCAAGGCGTTCCCAAACCTCCAAACTGCTGTTTGGGAGGTTTTGAAGGCTTCCCTTGTTGTTCGGAAACTTCCAACAGCCTCCAAATCGCTACGAACTCGCCGGAGTTGAAGAAGGAAGGGGTAGAAACCTTCCTCCGGGAGAAATGCCGCGTAGAATCCAACCTGGATGGAATCGCTACGAACTCGCCGGAGTTGAAGAAGGAAGGGGTAGAAACCTTCCTCCGGGAGAAGTGCCGCGTAGAATCCAACCTGGATGGAATCGAAGCCTTCAGAGCGGACCAGGGCCGCGGATTGGAGCTCACGACTTCAGGAAATCCAGCAAGTGAGGGAGGCGGAGCTCCTGGGTGACTCGGCCGAGAGCCCTGGTGGGTTCGGGGGAAGTTTCCGCACGCAAAGGGGACGCGAACGGGGGCCTGGGCATGGAAATTTCCCTATCTCTCTCTCTTCTATCTGGTTCGGGACGGACAAGCACGGGGGAGCCGAATGAGGCTCCCCTTCGTCTCCCGCTCTATATGGGACAGACAAGCACGCACAAAGGGACGCCATGCTTACTCGATTGTCTTTGCCACAAGATGAGACTTTTGCCGCAAGAGATAAGAGATCCCTACGATCTCTCTGATGTAGCCTCCCGCGGGAATCGAAATTTGACGGATAACGGCCAAAAAATTTGAAAATCAGGGTAAATCCTAGCCATTGGATGCAGGGATTGATTTGGAAGAGTCAATTGGGCTAATCTTGAGCCCAATTTGGACTCGATTCTAACCGATTTGATTCGATTCGTGTCCGATTAAGGCTGATCAAGTCAATTTTGCAAAATTAATCTTGAATCAGCATCGAATTACGTCGAATTTGGCTTGACGAGGCTCGATTGGGTTCGATTTGAGTTGATCTGATTTAAATTAAATTAAATTGAGTTTAATTTAAATGAAATGAGGCTAATTTGATGAAATTAAAGTTCAATTTCAACAAGTCGGGGTCCAATTTCGCTTCGACTGCATTCGATCGAATTAGTCTAGTATGATCGAGTCCAGTCGAGCTCGATCGGGATGGAGTCGATTCGAAAATATTCGTCAACATATCTAAATTTAATTGTTGCACTTTTGGTAAAGAAACTAATGTACATCACATATTAGTTTTTCTCGTCACCACTAAAGGTACCTATGAATCCACCATAAGTAATGGATATAATTTCATTATCAAGTATCACTTGTGGCACAAGATGTGTATGATTGTCTAAGAAAATGCTGGATGTGAATTTCCGTAGAGGGTGGGAGGAGTGAAGAATTGATGGCATCGATTGTTGATTTATGATATAAAGTCAAATTTACTGCATCAACAATCATACAATCACTTGAATTTTCTAAGATTTTTAATTTTTAGGCGTGATTGTTGATTTATGATACGCACAAAATCAATAGCATGTGGCCAAATTAGATTCAGAAAAAAAATCACATTTTGATCAGAAACTTACATTCCGATAAAAAAAATTCAGAATTGTATGAGTTTTGGCAATATGTTCCATCATAGAAACAGACAACTGTAAATAGAGAGTTGAAAAAGCGAAAATGAAAGAAATCTTTAAATAGGAGTTAAGGCCACATGGCAATACTGGTAGATGGTTTTCCCAACGAAATCTGAAGAGTAAGCATCCAAGTTACATATCACAAGTAGAGGGAGCCCATTGGGCGCGTGGCTTATTGGCACTTACCCTTAACTCCAAAAAGAGTGTCATGCATTTCACTCCTTCAAAATTCACGGGACCCCAATTGTTCTCAATAGAAGATTGCAAATCTGAACTGGAAATTTAGGCGGGCTGCTGGAAACTTCCGCATCTATATTACTGGGAAGTTTTTATTGATGTAAATGCCTTCAGAAACAAAGAGTTGATTAATACCCCCAAGTGTTTATCTTGTGGTTTTTACCTCTTCCTTGAATTTTATTTTTTTAAATTTTTTTTATTGGTACCAATCTTCTTTTTGATTATTCTTGTGTATGTTCCCCAAGGGAGTTTCTTTTCTGCTTCTATTGCTTCTCGTGTCTTACTGAATACAATCAAGATTGTTTGATATACATTATTTTAGTGTCCTATGATGGTCAGTAAGTCTATTATATTGTACCATCAACACTATGTTGGAAGATAACTTAACAACGATTTTTAATGAACATTCTGTGTACTTTTCATTCCTATATTTCTTCTACTAAGAACTTCAAAGTTCAAGCTTTTTGTTACACTTCCTAATCAATGGTAGCTAGAAAACGATAAGAATATAAAGTTGACGTACTACCCTGTGTCAGAGCTTGTGTGCAAGAATTCAATTTACATTCTTATTAGTTTTGTGATTATCTTAATGTTGCTGCTGTTATTTTGTAAATAATTTCTTTAAGTGCATGCAGATGCATAGTCATGCACTCAAATTCCGTTTCTGATTATAATTGCAATTTCCAGATCACTGCATGCTGTGGCCATTCGTTTGCTTTGTAAGACTTGGGTCGTTTCTGATAGGGTATTTCAGCACTTGCAAGTAAGGCATCCTTATTATCTTCAACTTCTAGCTAAAGTCTATGAATGCTTATTGCATTAGGTGTTAAGAGAGTTGAAAATTTTCATATATGCATACTTGAGAAGATTTTTAATTATAGTTGCTCCATGGTTAGATTGTTGGAAGTTTCTAAAATAATTAAAAAAATTTCATTTGGTTAGGCTATGTTCCTTAAAGTATTTCAATTTCCTTATTAGAACAGAAGTTGGTGCTAGGAGACCAACAACTATATCAGTTCAAGTACGTTCAACAAGTAAAAGCCTTCCATACCATTCATATGTTCGTTATATTCTTCAGATTTAGCAATGCTATCGCAGCCAGACCTAATTGGCCAATGGTATCACACCCCAAGGTAGCCTAAACAAGACCCCATTAGAACATATCCTTGTAAAAATCAAATATCTTAAACTTTGCCCTTGTTTTTCCAAACACTCAGCTGAATTATAATCATTATGCAAATCAATTACGACCAATTACTAAACATGTCATAAGGAAAATTTATGTCATATGTTTAATCAAATTTTGTACACAAAGTTCTTAATGCCAAAGCTATTTGTTTCATTGAAAAACCTCAATGATTGATGTTTATAACTAAATTAAGATTTTTTCTTTAATGATTAATTGTAAAATATTTCTTAATTAACCTTCATAATTTGATTACATGAAGAAAGATATTTTGGGTCATTATTACCAAACCCTCGTTGTTAACTGCACCCCATAAACTAGTATGATGGGTGTGCTTGAACATCAGCCTGTATTCATTAATATTACTAGATCACTTTCCTCCCTGATCTCTTTTGAATATCAGCCTGCCCGAAGAGTGTGGCGTACAAAGTGGGATGTCGGTTTCATTCTATAAAATACACAACTTTGAATGAATTTTTGAATACTTAATATCTTAATTTTTGTTTTACATGTTCGATTTTGGGTATGTTAATTTTTTCTTATAATTTCATGAGTTTTCAATCGACTTTATGGTCTTATTTGGACTTGGGAGTCTGATGGCTGTTTTTTTTCTACCTATGCCACAAAAGTAATATTTTAAGGGTCACATCATTCTACTATACGATGCATACCTTGAACTATTTGACTTTTTAAAGAGAGGAGAGGATCTAATTACATTATTCAAATATATCTGGCAATATACCTATAACGGATAGAGTATTGCTGCTCCCATATGAATCTTTTTTTTTTTTGAAAGAAAGCATAAAAAGCTTCATTAATAACTAGAAAAAAGATTACATCCTAATGGCATTTGATTCCTCCTTTAACAAATTGATAAAAGGTGGAATCTTATTTATAACTAAATCATCCCAAATGAAAGAACTTAAAATAGTATAGTTAGCACAAAGATCCGCTAACTTATTGCATTCCTTTCTAACATAATTAAAGATAACAAAATTGAATCTTTTGATAAAATAAAGATCTCCCACCTCATTAATGTCTTTTCTCACTATCTCTTGAATTAAATTGATTACATTTTTGTTGTCACCTTCAATGATTAAGCCTTTGTAATCCAACATCCATTCTTTTACCACGTCCTTAATTGATAAAATAGCATGAAGCTCCAATGAAGTACTATCCCAATGAATTCACTTTTGACCAAAAGCCATTAAGTATCTTCCCTTATGATCACGAAACACACCACCGATCCCAGCCTTATAGGAAGGAATAAGGGAAGCATCTATATTTACTTTTGTCCAATCGGGTGGAGGAGGAGGCCAATAAATATTCAACAACCTTTCCGGTTGATTGACTTCCCGAATACCCGAGCTAAAACAAAATAAAGGCTTGAGAATAGCAAAATAACTTACAGCGTTAGTGGCAATCACCAACGGGCTGGTTGTAGATCCATTGTGAACAAATTCATTCTTAGCTTTCCAAGATAAGTATATCGTGTTACAAAAAAGATTAACCAGCCACTGATTTTGGCTCTTCAACCATATAAAACATGAATCAACAGAGCTGAAACTAGGAATGCCAAACCCCCAAATGTTTAAATGTTGAATGACTTATTTTAAAAATCTGCATTTGGAGACAATATGCTCAATGTCTTCAACCATCTCGCATCCCCTTGGACAAGCATTGTTACTTTGTAATCTTCTATAACATAAGAACTAATATGTCGGAATTGCATTGTTTAAAACTCTCCACCAGAAATTCTCCATTCCTGCATTCAAGTTAACATTTTTCATCCAATTCCATTCAGGAAAAACAACATTGTCTTTCTCTAGTTTTTCGGTAGCCAAAGCTGAAATTGATCTTCCATAAGGCTTATTAATTAATTCCAATTGATCATCTGCATTCCCTAAGAAAATATGAACACCAGAAATCAGATTCACAAGGTCTGGACCGAAGAACTCTCCCAACTTCCCAGCAGCCATTGCTTATAAAATTATCCACCGTGAGATCATTGCACTCATCTGTTTGAACAAAGGTTGGCCATTTGTCAATGCTTTTATCCAATAACCATTTATCTTTGAAAACATTTAAAAATTTCCCATTAGCTATTCTCTATTTGACAATTGTTTTGAGACATTCCGCTCCATTGCATAAGAGTTTCCAAGCATAAGAGCCTGCTCTGTCCGGAAAATGATCTACAAACATAGAACCATATTTGGGAAACAACACTTTATGCATCAAAGAGTCTTTGTCTTGGCAATATCTCCAAGCCAATTTGGCTCTAAGAGTACCAGCTTTCTTAGAACAGGGAACTATACCACGACCACCCAACACATTCGGTTTACAAATAGAATCCTAGCTAACATAGTGTAGAGCTGCCCTTCCATCTTTCTTGCTCCAAATAAAATTTATGCACAATTTATCTATTTCATTCAAAACACTTTTAGGAACCAAGGAAAGAGTAGATTGAAAAGTGGGGAATGATAACAACACCGACTTGACCAAAGTAATTCTACCGGCCAAGGATATAAATTTTTCACCCCATACATTCAGCATATTCATTGCTTTGTCTAATAAGAATTGAAAATCAGATTTCACCATTCTTCTCAAAGCAATCTTGATTCCCAAATAGGAAAATTCTTTGTCTCCTTGAAATCCATAAGTCTAGCAACAGCTTTCCTTTTCCTTCTCTTGACTGATTTTCCAAATAAGATTCCAGATTTGCTAGTGTTCACCCTTTGACCCGTCCAACCACAGAAATCCAAAATGATACTTTTGATCTCCTTAACCATCTTCATCCTTGCTTTTAAGAAAATGATAATGTCATCGACATATAGAAGGTGAGTGATCTTATGCCCATTAGGAGATATACGAATACCAATTGAATCCTTCTTTTGTGAAAAACCATTAGATAGAATTTGTGCACAAATAATAAACAAAAATGGAGATAACGGGCATCCCTGACGAAAATCACATTTTGCTTCTATCCAATTAGACAAATTTCCATTGATTGATAAAGAAAACCAAGGACTATCAACACAATCCAAAATGAGATTAGCAAATTTAATTGGAAACCCACAATCCTCTAACGCCTTCAATAAAGTTGGCCACCCCATTGAATCGTAAGTTTGTTCCATATCTAACTTGAAGGAAACTAAACCTTTAAAGGATTTAGAATATCTAAACTTGTGGAAGACTTCATGAGCCACTAACACATGATCCGAAAGAGATCTTCCTTTCAAAAAAGCTACTTGTTCATCCGAAATTAATTTACGAATCACAAGTAAAAGTCTATTTAAAATCATCTTTGCCACTATCTTGTAGCTTATTGGTCTAAAATTGGAAGGGGACAAATGATTTTTTACCTTTGGTATCAGCACTATGATTGTTTTTTTTCCACTCATTACACATCTTACCAGATTTGAAGAAGTGATCCAAAGGCTTCCATAAATCAACCTTGATTATAGACCAATATGATTTGAAAAATGAATATGAGATTCCATCATGTCCCGGAGCAATATTCCCTCCAAGATCTTTGAATACTTTCTCCATTTCTCCCATGGAAAAATCTTTATCCAACATGAGCAAGTCGCCTCCATTCAAAGTGTTCCACGGATTTCGCCACCCGGACATAGAACAATCCCTCCTTTTCCATTTGTCTTTAAAGTAACTGAAAAGAACACCTTCTATATGTTCCTTCTCTTCTACAATCAAGCCGTTCACATCTTTGATTTTATGAATAAAATTTGAATTTTTTCTAGCACTTGCATAAGCATGAAAAAACCTTGAGTTAGCATCACCTTCCTTAAGCCATTTAACCTTTGCTCGCTGCCTCCACCAAGTACAAAGCCAAGCCAAAGTAGAATTTAAATCATTTGTCTTAGTTTTCAAAATCCACAAATCTTCATCTGAAATCTGCCTCCTTCAATTGTAATTCCATAATTTCTTTCTTTAGCTCTTCTTTAGATTGATTTAATTCCTTGTGCTTGGCTTTACTCCAATAAAATAAAGCCTTAAGAGGTCTCTTCATCTTTTGATTTAGGATTCGAGGGGAATCTCCAACGGCTTTCTTCCTCCATGCTTCTGTAACCACCACCATCGAGGCTGGAATTGAAGCCCATATATCTTCAAACTTGATATTTTTCTTGCACGGCACATTGAATTTTAATAAGTTTAACAAAATCAGGCAATGGTCCGATGCAACTCTAGCCAAGTGCCTTACCACTAAACGCTGAGAAGAATTCAATGCTGCTGAATTCAGAAGACATCTATCCAGTATTTCAAGAATTCTTTTAGCTCCCTTCTTATTGTTGCACTAGGTGAATTTGGGTCCAATGCATCCTATGTCATGTAAATCATTACATGTTATAAAGGAGTTCAACTCCTTCGGGCTGAGGGAATAAACAAAACTCCTACCTCCCCTTTTTTCCTCCCTAGAAATTAAGCAATTGAAGTCTCCATATTCACTGACTTCAGAATTTCACCTTCCTCCATCAGCTGATTCAACATTTCAAATTGATTATTACTACTAGGAATGCCAGTATAATGAACCATCAATTTTTTACCAGAAGCATCTTTCC